TAAACATCTAGTCTACACAATACAGGTTATCTACTACAAGCATTTACCTACAAGTCAGAAATGAACATTAGGAAGAAGAAGAAGATATAATTGAGGGTTTCGTTCATCAAAAGTCACGCCACATGAATTGTCTAATATGCTTTTGATAAGGTTATGAAAAGCAAGTTAACTCTAACAACAAGACATCAACCTATGACTATCATCTATTTTGAAAGCTACGAAATGTAAAAAAACAAGGACAAGCTTCATCCACCAGTCATATTGTCACCAAATCTTAAGACAAGCATCGTCTAATGGCTATATAATCAAATGTTTATAAATAGAAGATCAGAAAAGAAAAAAAAAGAGATGATGAAAATCCATAGAGTGTAAAGAAAAATCACCATCAAGGAAGAGTCAGGAAGTCTCTCTAAGCTACCAGAGTCAAATCATTCTACACAAGAGAAGAGAGAAAGAGAGAAAGAGAGAAGAGCTTAAGAAAAGGAAACACTCTTAGGCTTTAGTGTTATAAGCTTACTTTTGTAAGAAGAAGAAGAGAAAAAGCAAAAATATAAAAATACTCTCAAGCTTCATTACAATATTAGCTTACTATTTGTAAGAAGAGAAAAAAGAGAGAAATACGTATCGAGTTTGTAGATAGTATTGTATTGAACATATATCCTCTCTGTGAGAGTAATCATCTAACTACTTGTAAGCAATCAGATTGATTACAAATTCAGAAGAAAATTCAAACACTTGTTTAATTTAGAAGAGTTAAGGATTACTAGGCAGCGTATAGGGGGATACCAGGATTGTGTAGTGGAAACCAGGAGTGGGTGAAACTCAATTAATCTAGGGTAACAGAAGTTATTCGCTAACTAGGGATACTAGAAGTGGTGAAGAATACTACGCAACCAGAAGTGGGTGAAACTCAACTAGGCAGCATATCAGGGGATACCAGAATTTTCTAGTGATACCAAGAGTGATGAAGAATATTGCATAACCAGGAGTGGGTGAAACTCATACAAGGTGTATCAGGTTAATACCAGAAGTGTCTAGGGTTACCATGAGTGGTTAGAGGAGAACTAGACATAGCTCTATTCGAGTGAACCAGTTTAAAATGTCTGTGTGTTAGAGTCTACATTATAATCAATCACATCATATGAAAAGTAATGTCTCATCAAACACGTCAATCTTATAAAAGATTCATTCCTCACCAAACCTGCGGGGAATGAATTAAAGTTAGCTCTATCAACGCATGCAACGGGATAACGTTTATGACGTTAAGTATAAGTTGCTCATGAAGAACTTCTATTTCATGATCACCTTATTGATCACGAAAAGGAACTATGAATAAATTAGTGCCATTATGAAGAAGGTTGGGAGATTTCTCCTTATCTGGTTACAACTTATGTTTAAGTTGATGAGATTGAGGAAGGTTAAAATGGTGTGGTGTTGGTCATAATTGAGGTTGTTGTGGCTGTATTAGTCCTGCCTATTAAGGTAGTTGTATGACTTAGTTTTCTAAATCTCCTACCTCTAGCAGGAATAGTATGCTTTATTATTGTCCTTAAGTGAGCAATCAATGGTGAAGGAATAAGGGTAGTAGAGGACGAACTCTCTAACAACTCGAGTATTGGGCTTGACTCTTTTCCTTTTGCTAAGTAGTTCCCACCAAAGTACATTCTCAATTAAATCCTATTATGTTTAATCATATCTATTTTTTTATCTCTCAACCAAGTTAAAAGTTAATAAATCAAAGGATAATCTTGACTAATTATTATTAAAGTTTTAACCACTAATCAAAGTACATTCTCAATAAAAATTAAAAACCTTTAGACTCATATGATTAATATGCATATAGATTAAAACACCTCACGAATTAGCTATGATATAAAAACCATTACATTTTACATAGATGAAAAGACATAGATAAAAGATAACCCAAAGCAGTAATCGAAAGAACAAAGACATTACTTCAACCTAACATCATAATTCATAATGAAATTATAGTGGGACAGCCCTATAATTTATGCCCTCCATGGATGGAGTAGAATACATGATGAATGAAAATAAAAGTAAGAGAAAAATAGATGGGGTGTATGTCAATTCTAGACCAAAGTTGCTAATGCCCTTTTCCTGCTTTCCCTTGGTCTCTTTATATAGAATTTGATTGAGCTTGGATTCTGACTTTTATGTTGATGAAATCTCTTATATCATGATGTAATATCTCCAAAATATTTAACAAATTTAATCAGTTTTAAAAATATTTGGCAGATATTTTCGTTGATATTTTCATATATAATTACATTAAATATTTTGTAAAATATCTAATAAATTATCAACAATTGAATTTCCTAAAATCCTTATTTATCCTTTCTTATTTTGTCCAAAATTATAGAGAAATCCAGAAGATTTTAACTTTTTCACTTTAGGCCCCCTTGTTTGACCATATTGTGTTGTTTGACCTTACGAGAGACTGCCCAATGAGGGACTACCACATGGCAGTTCCCTCTTTCACACAAAGTTAGGGTTTTGCTGCGACAGAGGCTGCTCTAGGTCTGAATAGGTGTGATGCGATGAAGGTTGAAAGTGTACGCTCACGAGGTTCTATGCGTGGGTTTTGTTTCGGCGTGGTTAAAAGAATGAAAAAGACGATGGAGGCGTGATTCCAGTAGTTGATGACTCTCAATGACATGAGGTGGTTCGCGTGGGTGAAATGAAGAAGGTTCTTAAAGGAGGAGAAGCTGGCAATTAGGGATTTTTCTGATTTTCTATAGGTTTCGCGATGGTGAATTTGATGTTAGGTGTTTGTTCAGTGGTTGCTATTGTTGGCTTAAGGGTTTTTGTGACTAATGTTCGTGATGGAGGATAGTGGTGTAGCTACTCGTTGATTGTTCACACTTGTTGTAGTGAGGCTCGTGGTGGTTTATTTGGGGTTTATGTGTATAACGAAGTAGGCATGGAGGTGGATCATAGTGGTCTCATGGTAGTTGATGGTGGCTAGCAACAAGGACTGAGGACGTCATGGAAACTAAGGTTTCTGTGGTTGGGTGTTGAAGATGGAGATGACGTGGCGATATGTGATGTGTTCAAATGAATGTGATAGGATCACCATGTGGCATCATCTGAATGGATAAATTTAAAAGTAGTTGACCAGGACACATGACAACATTTGGTTAAATGTGAGTAATAGGAGTGGTGAAAAGAGACAAATAGAGAGGTGTAGGAGTAAAGTTAATTTCATGGCCCATTACTAAAAAGGAAGTGAATAAGTGAAAACTAAGGGTGCATTTTGCTCCTTGTAATTTTTTTTCTTCATAATTTACTAATTTTTGTCTTATTTTGTAACTTGGACAATTTAATTTCATACTTTGAATGAATCAAAATTTAACTTGAGGTTCTTCAACAAACATTAGAATATCTAAAAATAATTGATGCAACTAAAAATCACTTTTTAAGACCTTTTAATTCACAAATTCGATAAGTCATATTGTCATAAATCCTATTTAAATCAATTATTTAAACGTAAATCCATCAAAATTTCAAAAACTAAACCTACAAGACAGACATAGATATGTACTCATTACACATTCCATAGTTATCCTTTTGCACTCGGGAAAATTGAGTGATTTCAAAACTTTGTTTTGGGTTATTTTATCTCTTATTCACCCTCATATCATAAGAATGAACAGTATTCGATAGAGATCAATCATCCAGAAATCATGTTATCATGGATATGCAAATGAAAACATTTTATTTTTCACACGAGTTTATTTTTGAAATTACTAAGAAAATCAAATATAAAAGATATCACTCGAGGCAAAATGTATTTATTTTACCAAGTGTATTGGTTTACATTTTCACTCAAAGTACCATATAAATAAATTCTCGTGATATTTAACAAGACTTTAATATTCACATACTTTTAAAAAAATGTTTAATTGATGATCATGAGAATTTTTTAAAGATTATAATAAGATCAAAGCAAAAAGTAAAAAGACTTTTAAAAAATGATATAAACAATAAAGATAAAATTAATTATATTCTTATAAATTTTAAGAAAAATTAATTATATCTCTAAGAAAATGAATAATTACTTATCAACAATTTACTATGAATCCATTTAGATTTTATAACAGAGACTTATTCTATGCATCACGACACAATGATAAAAGAAAATTGGACTCACGAATTAGAAACGGATTAATTAATTGAAACTAGCCAAACCATGAAGTCACTAAATAGTCAAAACAATTAGAGACACCAAGAAGCAAAATATTGAAGTAGTAGTAAAAAGAAAAAGAAAAGAGGAATGACAGTATTTGAATATTAGGTAAAATAACCAGAAAGGGATAAACTTAAAATGAGATGTATCTAATGAGAATAATTAAAAAATAATAAGTTAAGTATAAATAATTTTATTCGTCTAATTCCTTGATAATTTCATATTTGGATATATAACTTAAAAAAGAAAACACATTTTGCCATACACGAAAAGAAAAAAAAAAAAGTGGAGAAAAAAATAACCGAACTTTATTACTAACAAACACTCTTCCTCGATGTGGGGTTTAATTACCAATAAAATGCCACCATCTTCCCATTAACCAGATAATGTTCAACTCTCTGTCCCTTTTCCCTCTCTCTTTCTTCCCACCTTCTCTCATGACAGTCTCAATACAAAGAACCTTCTTCTTCTTCTCTTATTGACTCGTGGCCACCACAGAGACTCTGTTCTGGATCCTCTGGTAATAATCTGTGCACCTCTTCTTTCGCTCGCCCTTTTCACTGTTAAACTGCTTCGTGCTATCTGCATGGTCAATCAGATTCATGGGTTTCTGTTGTTTTGATTTCTGGTCTCTGTCGATACTGATTTTGTTACCCTTATGATCTATCATGGAGAAGTTCATGTTCATCTATTTATTTCATCTATTTATTTCATCCTCTATGTTGGAAGTTTTCTCCCTTTCTTAGCTTGCTGGTTTTGTGGGGGGTTTTTTGGCGTGATTGTTCTCCTCATCAATTTTACTAACTTTTATGTTTTATCTGAAAGCTGCAGCCTTTTATGATGCTTTAATGAAAAAACCTTTCGAAGTCGTCATTTGTTGTCCTTGTTTTTATAGTCACCTCATTTGTTGTCTTTGCCCATGTTGTTTTTGCTTCCCTGTTTGATTCGTTAATGATTGGATCTGTCGAAATGGTACAGCCCTGATCTATTAATATTCATCAACGTTTTGAATTTTGAGGTGATATGTTTTTTTTCTTTTTAATTCATGTTTTAGCCTAGATTAATGTTGATTTTAGCTTCGAGATATATGTGCATATTTTACGATGTGATTCTCTTCATCTGGAGAGTATTTGATTTCTGTGCCTTTTTGAATTTTCTTTGATCTTTGTTTTGTTACTGTTGGCAGGTGCAAAGGCCTTTAAGAGCTAAGAATTTGTTAACTTGAATTGGTGTACAGTGCTAAGGGGTTAGTTTGAAATCCAACTTCCTACTTCCATCATCAGAAGCTCACAGGTTCGATCTTTATTTTTTCCTCGGAAAATGATGATGATGTTTGAGGAGATGGGGTTTTGTAATGATTTGGACACGATGTCTACTGTCCTTGGGGACGAGGATATCACCGCCCGGCAAACTGATCCAGAGGCGATAGTTGAGGATGATTTCAGTGATGAAGAAATCGGGGTAGATGAGCTTGAAAGGAGGATGTGGAAGGACAAAATGCGTCTCAAGCGATTGAAGGAGCAGAGTAAATCTAAGGAAGGAATTGATGCGGTGAAGCAAAGACAGTCTCAAGAACAGGCAAGGAGGAAAAAGATGTCCAGGGCTCAAGATGGAATCTTGAAGTACATGCTGAAGATGATGGAGGTTTGCAAGGCACAAGGATTTGTTTATGGGATAATCCCCGAGAAGGGGAAACCAGTGACAGGAGCATCGGATAATCTTCGTGAATGGTGGAAGGATAAAGTCAGATTCGATCGAAATGGTCCAGCTGCCATAGTCAAATACCAAGCTGATCATTCTATACCTGGAAGGAATGATGGATGCAATTCAATTGGTCCAACTCCACATACCTTGCAAGAGCTGCAGGACACAACCTTGGGTTCTCTCTTGTCAGCACTCATGCAACACTGTGATCCTCCCCAGAGGAGGTTTCCATTGGAGAAGGGTATTCCTCCACCATGGTGGCCTACAGGAAATGAAGAGTGGTGGCCCCAGATTGGTTTGCCTAAAGATCACAGTCCCCCTCCTTACAAGAAGCCCCATGACCTAAAGAAGGCATGGAAAGTTGGCGTTTTGACGGCAGTTATCAAGCATATGTCCCCAGATATTGCCAAAATTCGGAAGCTTGTGAGGCAGTCCAAGTGCCTCCAAGATAAGATGACAGCGAAGGAAAGTGCAACCTGGCTTGCAATCATCAATCAGGAGGAGGCCTTGGCAAGAGAGCTTTACCCTGACTATGTCCCTCCATTAGCCTCAGGTGGAGGGAGTGGATCTTTGGTGGTCAATGATGGCAATGAATATGATGTTGAAGGGGGTGAGGATGAGCCTAACTTTGATGTGGAAGAGAGGAAACATGAGAATATTCACATGTCCAATCTGGGGATGGAGAGAATGAGGGGAACTATGGGTGTTCAGCAGCCCTCTTTTTCTATCAAGGGAGAGGCAGTTACAAATTTGGATCTTCTTAGGAAGAGGAAGGTCTCTAATGACTTTAACATGATGGATTTGAAGATTTACACATGTGAACAGCCTCAGTGCCCTTACAGTCAAGTTCAGCTTGGTTTCCCTGATAGAATCTCTAGAGACAATCATAGGTTAATTTGTGCATTCAGAGGTCCTTCAGATTTTGGGGGTCCAAACTTTCATGTTAATGAGGTAAAGCCAGTGATATACCCCCAGTCCTTTGTTCCACCCAAGTCTACTGCTCAGTCTGCTAACGTGGTCCCGCCTGTAATTGATCTTACTGGGCTTGAAGTTTCAGAAGATGGTCAGAAAATGATCAGTGACCTTATGGCTAACTATGAAACAAATGTTCAAGGCAACAAAAACATAAGTTCATGTAATCGCATGGCTGCAGAGAATCCCTGCCTTCGACAGCATGGAATCACTATGGAAGGAAACATCTTTGATGAGCCCAACATGTCCAATAATCATCACGTATTTTCTAGAGAAGAAGGCCAATATGAGCGGTTCAAAGCTTTGAATAATGCTCCCTTCGAGACCAATCACAACAACCATAACTTCAATTCAATGTTTGGGTCCTTTTGTGATTTAGCATCATTTGATTTCAAGGAGGACATGCAAGGAGTAGGGATGGATGATGCTCTTCAGAAACAGCCAGACTTTTCCATATGGTATCAGTGAAGATGACAAGTGGAATCCGGAAGCTCATTGTCCACATCACAAACTCTTACTTTCATGTGAAGTTCCTTCATCCAAAAGTCTTACCCAATTTTCTTCACATGTAATTCTGTATTTCTAGAACTAGATATTCTATGCTTATCCTCTACAGGACTAGTATTTGTTACAATAAAAAAAAAAACTTACATGTTCCCACTAAGTAGCCCCAATGTTCTGCCGTGTTCTTTTATCAATCTAGCCTGTGTTACTTAAAATCACTATTCCCTGTAAGACTGTGACATAAATAAGATTTAAAGTTTCTTCCAAATTTTACTTTCACCATTTATATATATATATATATATATAATCTAAGAAAATGTGTGGCGGTTTGACCCAGTAGATGGTAAAATAGTGGATAGGTGAAAGGTTTGTCCTTTATTCTGGCCTTTTCTAATACCTATCCTTTTCCATGTGAAAATGGACCCCATTGCAGTTCTGACCCCATAACAGTTCTTTGGCTGATGTTAAGTTGAATTCCATTTGGATTGCTTGTTCAGACTGTGTGGTGGGGCACACCATTCGCATCTTTGATGTCCCATTGGTCAATGAATCATGAAGGGCTTTTCATTGTTCAACACCATTAATGTGCTGTTCATGCGACAGGGAAAGTACAATCTCATCAATTGGCCGACGCAGCTGAACATAAGGATTTGGATAAACATTTTACAAGATTTGTAACAGAAAAAATGCAAAAAGAAAATAAAAAAGACAGTTCATCACTTTATACATTAAAGTTAATGTGTAAAATTGCTTCATAAATTTTATTTTTATGTCATACAAATTAATTTAAATTTATGAAAAAGTTTATAAAAGTAGTACTGTGCTTCTTGGAAAGTTAAAATTTTGATGCAATGAATTTTGTGTCAAACTTAGTTTTCTTTGGTATCAGGCAATTAGCTGGTTGAAAATAAGTGGTTGTAGAATGGCACCAGTGACATGGGATTTAGTGAATAAACTTTATTGGTTGAAAATGTGCTGAGGATAATAATAGCACGTGATGAAAACAAAATTCGGGAAAGGGGAAGAGGCCGTGTTGACTCAAAAAGATCTTTGATAGGAAGAAAAGGAAATAAAGAAGAAAACAGTTTCTTTATTTGGACCAAGTATGGTTTGTAATTAATTAATAAATGGTGGATAATAATGTTAAAACTTCAAAATTTATTTGAAATAAACACCAAACTTATAACAACAATAGATATGACGTTTGATCTTATCACGAGAATGACAAACATATAAATCACTATTAACAGGTTGTATCCCATCTAACGATGTTATTTAAATATAAAATAAATCATTAAGTAAAAAGTATCCACGTAAATTAATAATGATTTTCAAATAAAGAAAGCATATTTCTTTTATAAAAATATGAACATTTAATTATGCTTTTAGGTTTTATAAATATAATGGACTTTTATCTTAACATTTTAATATTTTTTGTTAATTTTAATTTTTGTAAATTTGATTTTTAAAAATATTTTTTGTGCTATTATAGTTTGTGCAAACATTCAAAGATCAAACAATTTTGTACCTAAGTCTGATTTGTGGCTATAAAAGCAAGAATGTTGTTATTTGAGGGTTTGTTGGATATGATTGGACCTAGAAACCAAACATTGAAGTTATGGAGTCCAACATGTTTAGGCAAAATAAATATGTTTAAAAAGAAAGTTTCTTTACTTTTTAAGCAAAAGAAGAAAAATAAACGCAAGAGAACTGGGCTTACATGGATTTAAACTATGGCCCTCTCCATTAAACACTCACTTCCACTACTACACCATAATTTCTCATTCAATTATATACACAACCATATCTATATACATCATACACAACACATCATATATATATATATATATATATATATATATATATATATATA